AACAATCTGCAACTCCAGTTCCAGGGCATCTGATGCCCTCTTCTGACCTCCATGGGCACTGCATGACACAGGTACACTTATAAACAGACAGGCAATACACTCATAGACATAAAATAAAATAATAATAAAATATTTTAAAAAGAAGTACAAATGACCAATAAACAATGAAAAATTGGTCAACATCTTTAGCCATCAGGGAAATGCAAATCAAAACTATATTCAGTTGGTCAAATGCTTGGCATACACGCATGAGGACCTGAATTCAGAGCCCCAGCACCCATGCAAAAGCCAAGTACAGTGGTGTTTGCCTGGAATCCTTGCATTGGGGAGGCAGAGACAGGATCCCTGGGTTCGATGTCTAGCCAGTCGGTGAGCTCCAGATTTAGTGAGACTCTGTCCCAAAATATAAGCTGCGGTGGCTCATGCATGTAATCCCAAGTGCTTGGGAAGCAGAGCCAGGTATGTCTCTGTGAATTCAATACCAGCCTGGTCTACATAGCAAATTCCAGGGCTACACAGTGAAACCCAGTCTCAAAAAAAGGGTAGTGATTGAAGAAAACACCCAACATTGACCTCTGCCCTCCCCCACATATGCACACATGTGCATGCACACACATAAACACATATACAGGCATCACACACACAACCTATATTGAGATTCAGTCTCACGCAGCAATGGCTCATGTCTGTAATACGAACACCTGGGAGGCAGAGGCAGGAGGACTGCAGCAAGTTAGGGACCACTCTGGTCACATAGCGAGCTCTAGGCCAGCCAGGGCTCCCTAGTCAGAAAAGTAAAATAGATGCTGAGCGTGGTGGTACACGTCTTTAATCCCAGCACTCAGGAGACAGAGCAGGTGGATCTCTGTGATTTTGAGGCCAGCCTGGTCTACATAGTGGGTTCCAGGTCATCCACGACTTAATTAATTAAAAAATAAATGATAACAAATGCTGTGAGGATGGGATGAGGGCAAAGGAACTCTTAGCACACTACGGATAGGAATAGAAATTATGTAGCCACTATGGAAATCGATATGGATGTGCCTCAAAAGACTAAGAATTAAATTGCAAATGACCTAGTTGTACCATTCCTAAGTATAAACGGGAAAGATTCCAAGTCACCAAGCCATAGAGACACCTGCACACCCACATTTATTGCAATATTCACAACAGCCGAAATATGGAAGCAGCCTGGGTGTCTATCCACAGACGGATAAAGATGTTGTATATATACACAATGGAGTTTCTCAGCTGTAAAGCAGAAATTATGTCATGTGCAGGAAAATGGATGGAATAGATCATGGTACTAAGCAAAATAAGCCAGACTTAGAAAGGCAACTATCACAAACCTCGATTACATGCACAAACATATGTGCACATGTGAATCATGAAAATAGAAGGCAGACTGTGGGGTGGAAGGGGGTCCAGCAAGAGGGGGGACAAAAGGGAAGTGGGGGTGATGGATGTGAGCTGCCCGCTACAACAATATACATGCACAAAAATGTCAAAATTAAGCCCATTATTTTGTACATTCATTTAAAAAAAAAAATAACTACAAAGCAAAAAAATCTTAAAACTTGAGGTGTCCAGTGGCACAGGAAGTTAGGGAAGCAGAAGGAGGTTTCTGAAGAAGGAAGAGCCTGGGGTTCCATGGGATCAGAGGGCCTGCAGCCTTGCATCAGGCCTGTCTACCTTTCCCCTTGACACTAGGCACTCGCACAGCTTCTGTTTCCCACTCATGTAGCTGCCCTTGGCCTTAGGAAAGTCCCTGGTCTGTGCCTGGGTGGCAAAGCAGCTGTGTGCGCCCACACCCCCTCCTAGGCTGAGATGGCCCCCTCCTAGGCTGAGATGGCCCTCAGGTTTTCACCCCCCTGGTCCTTACCTGTTTCGATCCTCTGCTCTCAGGCCTGCCACATACCTGCCCTGGGGAGTCTCCTGGATAGATTCCAGTGTAGGAGCTGGGGCTCTACTTCCTGCTTTGAGGCCCAGTCTCTGAAAGACCCTGATAGACCTGCAGGCCCCACCCCGGAACAGGAGGGCCCAGGCTGGGTTAAGCTGGCTCAGTCTCAGACCTACCCTTCCTCCTTCCTTTTGTACCCCAGTGTGACAGAACAGGATGGTCTGGGGGGTGGGGCTGGAAAGGAAAGGGGAAGTAACAGGGCAGGGACAGTGGTGGGTGCAGAGCTGGCTGGGGGAAGGAAAGGGGGAGGGCAGACGACGCCAGGCAGATGGCTACCCCTTCACCCACCCCTGCTTGGCATTTGGTGTCATTCAAGGCACGGGTTTGATTTCTTGTCCCAGAGAAGACAGGTGTGTTGACAGAGCCTCTGCCCCATCTGCAACCCCCACAGTAAAGAAAGGAAGAATCATGGCTCCGTTATTTCAGAGGAATTCTCAGGCACAGAGAAGCTAAGACGGTCTCTTGAAGTCACACACCAAAAAAGGACATGGCGCCGGGTGTGGTGGCGCATGCCTTTAATCCCAGCACTCGGGAGGCAGAGGCAGGCGGATCTCTGTGAGTTCAAGACCAGCCTGGTCTACATAGTGAGTTCCAGGACAGCTGGGGCTACAGGGAGACACTGTCTCAAAAAGACCAAAAAAACAAAAAAAGGACATGGCTGAAGTGCTAGTCAGGTCCGGAAGGCCCCTCCCCCTCGAGTTGTTGCTTCCGTGGTGTCCCCCTGGTCTACATAGTGAGTTCCAGGACAGCTGGGGCTACAGGGAGACACTGTCTCAAAAAGACCAAAAAAACAAAAAAAGGACATGGCTGAAGTGCTGGTCAGGTCCGGCAGCTCCCTCCTCCTCAAGTTGTTGCTTCCTTTGTGTCCCTCACAAGTTCCCAGAAAAGCAGTGGAGGAGGTGGCCCCTTACCGGGCCTCCCAGGTCTGAGATACCAAGTTGTGGACCAAGTTCACATTCCTGAAGCTGTAGGCTTGCTTTGGCAAGTCTCAGCCAAGGAGCCTCAGATTAAAAAACAAAAGAACAAACATTCCGTGAAAGTTGAATCCCCAGGGAGGGAGGGAGGGAGGGAGGGAGGGACATTCCTGTCACCTCAGTGTTCAGATCTCACATGAAGAGGAGTCCCCAGCTGGCCTTCCTCACCCCCAGGCCTTCTCCACCTCCCACTCTACTCTCACCCTGAATTTTGCCCTCAAGTGATACACTGGGGACCCCTCAAAGCAAGACCAGCAAGAGGGTGGACTCAGGCATCTCACAGTCCCTCTTTCCTGCGTTTGCCTGCGTGGAGTTGCCTGGGTGGGCTGGGCTCTTGCCTCTTTGTCATAGTGTCATGAAATGGTAAGGACACCAGGGGCTAGGGTCCCTGACCAGTCTGTCTACACGCTTCCCGGAGCTTCCTCCCTGATCTCACTCCCCATGCTGTCCCTCTTGGCTGCCCTTCTCTTAACAAACCATTTATTTATTTCTTGTGTGTGTAATGTATAGGTTAGTGCACACCTGCCATGGCCCGAGTGTTATGATCAGAGGACAACTTTGCGGAGTCTGTTCTCTCCTTCCACTGTAAATACACATAAGTGAGTTTCAGAGATTGAACTCAGGTCTCCAGGCTTACGCAGCTGAACTTAACCCACTGTTCAGCTATCGTGACAGTCCACTTCTATTCCTTACTCCATCCAGAGGAGATGTTCCCACCCTCACATCTTTTTTTTCTAATTAATAAAACTTTTTATTTTATGTGGATGAGTGTTTGGCCTGCATGTATGTAAGTGCCCCATGTTATGAAATGCCCGTGGAGGCAAGAAGAGGGCATTGGATCCCCTGGAACTGGAGTTAAGGACGGTTGTAAGCCACCATGTGGGTGCCAGGAATTGAACTCGGGTCCTCTCTGCAAGAGCAGCCAGTGCTCTTAACCACTGAGCCATCTCTCCAGTCCCCCTCACCCTCTCACCTTGTTACCCAATCCTCCTTTCCCCTGTGTCTTATGTAAGTGTATATCTCTCTCCCCCTTTCTTTTTTGAGACAGGGTCTCACTATGTAGCCCTGGCTTAGACTAGGCTGACCTCAAACTCACAGAGATCATCTGCCTGGATTCAAGGTGTGTGCCACCACACCTCAATACTGGCCTTCTTTTTGCTCAGACCCCATCCCCAGGGCTCATCTCTGCCCTGTCCAGCCTCCGGGGAAGATTTAAGAATGTGCAGGGTGGATGGCAATGACACGCGGGAAATATAAACCACTGGGAAGGCTCAGGGTATAGCATGGTCTGAGGAGAAGGTACCAGGGCATGGTGGGGACTCCCCTGCGGTGCTGACACGCAGAACAAGGACACCTGCACTCCTCATCCACAAAGAAGGTTAGTCGGTCGTTCTCAGAGGCCCAAGGTCACATTGTGACATCCTAAGCCCCAAGACACAGAATGAGTCAGGGGTTTGGAGGAAGGTCCTTCAAGTGAGCCCAAATCAAGGTCACTGGTGGTCTTAAAGGAAGTAGTTTGGACAGAGAGATGCTAAGGATGTGTGGGAAAATGAAAGACCACCTGAGGACCCAGTGAGAAGAAAAGAGAACATCTGCAAGCCAGGGGAACGCCTCAAAGGAGACACCTGTCAGCCTCTCTGCTGGGACCATCCAGTCTAGAACCTGGAGGCAGCCTGAGTGGGCTGTCTTGGCACCTGGTGGGCAACATCCAGCTGTGGCAAAGGGAAACTTAACAATCCTTGCCTTAAGGGCGCTTATCCTCTGAGCACTCAAGGCTGCCTTGATGAGGTTTCTCCATCTTGCAATTTTTCAAGTTCACACATATACCCCACTCAGCTAGGTTTAATATTGTGACAGGAGGCATCTTGTTAAGAGGTAGAGGGAACCTTGGTGGGGGGGGGCGCTCTGGAGAGATAGAAGAGGCCTGGGAGGAGTGAGGAGAGGGAAAGAAATGGGAGCTGGGGACAGGAGGCTAGGCAGGAACGAGGGACAGGTACCAGCCAGGGAAGCCTGCGCTGACACTGGAGGGGAGGGGAGAGGTAGCCAAGCACATGGAAGGCGCTCACCTGAGGATCTTCTGCAGCATGGCATTCTGGAACCTGTAATTTCTATACAGTTTCTTCCAAGGCCTGAACGGCTGGCCATCATTGTCCACAAACTTTTCCAAACACTCTCTAAATTCTGAGACGGAAGAAGAGAAATGGCATCAGTGTCTAGCAGGCCTCTCCGTGGTCCCTAGAGCTGGCTCCTGGGGTGCTCCCCTTTCACCATATGGCAGACCCGCAGGGCCGTCCTGCAATCCCCAACCCCCCTTCTCTCACCTTGAAAGGACATGGCGGCCATCTGGGCCCCTTCCTGACTCAGCCTGCGAAGGTTCTCCTGGACCCATTCATCCCAGAAGCAGTAGAGGCGGGCACTGAAGATGAGCAGGCTCACATTGCAGTGTGTGGCCAGGAACTTGGCTACCTGGTCAGCGCAGTGGAAGCAGGGGCTCCAGGACAAATACCAGATGATCTTGTATTCCTCCCTGGGGGACAACACCTCCAGGACTATGCTGTGGAACCAGTAGAGGAAGCACTCTTCCGCGTGGAGGTTGGGGGTGACCTGGAAGAGTAAGAACAGGGAAGCTCCTGGTGAGAGGCTGCACAGGGAGGGGAGTCCTCCCACTTGGCTGTCTCCATCCCTCCCGATCCTCATCCTCCTTTGTTAATTTCGCATCCCTTCTCACCAATGGCTGGCTTGGCAACTGGTCTTAACATCCATTTTCCCATCTTGTAGGCATTCCTCAGTAACATGTCAACCCTGTTCCAGCCAGGCCCACGGAGGCCAGCTGGCCTAAGACATCCCTTAGGGAATCTGGCCACTGGTACCTACCTACTGAGTCCTTGAAATGTGGCTTACCTAAGTTGATACTTGCTGCACATGTAAAACACACAGCTTTCTTCTTTTTCTATTTTGTCTTCATTTTAATATTTATTTATTTAGTGTGCGACAGGGTCTCATGTAGCCCAAGCTGGCCTCCATCTCACTATGTAACTGAGGAGAGCCTTGAACTCCTGATCTCCGGCTTTAGTCTCTTGAATACTGAGATTACAGATATGCCATCATGGCTCACAGAGCTCATTTCAAAAAGGAAAAGTAAGTGGGGTATGGTGACCCACACCTTTAATCCCAGCACTCAAGAGGCTGAGACAGGGGATCAAGGAAGGGGGAGTTGGAGGCCATCTTGGGTTATATACTTGAGACCCTGTCTCAAGATCACAGAGAGAAGGGAGGTGGGTGGGAACGATCTCATGAAAAAAATTACATTGATTATAAGCATTGAAATAATGTTAACCATGTTGGGCTAAATGAGTTATTAAATTTTATCAGATGTATAGAAGGACTCCGGTAGGTGACTACCATTAGCAGCTATGACCACCCCAACTCCAACCACTAAAACCCTGCCTGAGAGTGTACCAGCATGCTTCTGCCCTCCCATCCCTCAGTGACAGGTTTTTCTAAAATGTTTTGTGAGAAACTTTTCATGAGGTAGCAGGCTTTCTCCACAGCGGTTATCTGTCATTTAAACTTTCCCAGTGCCTGTAGTTTAAGAAGCTGACAAAAAGGGTATGCTAAAACTTAATACCTGTTTAAAGACCCCTCTGTAGAGACGGACAGGTAAGCCACACTCCATTCTTCTCACTTCGTAGCACAAGAAGGTATTATTTCGGCCATTGGCAAAGCGTAGGTTTTTAAAATGAAAGTAGAATGTCCTTTGATACAATGTCTGCATTGGTCTGTGGGCACAAAAGAGAAAACAGAAATTGCAGTGTGCCCTGGAGTGACTCCAAGCTGCTCTCTACTAAACAAAGCCTGTGGAGTCCTCAGGCACCACCTCCCCCCATCCCTCCTCACAGCCCTCCACAGCCTTGAGAATTTCTGTCACCTCTCCAGGCAGGAAGACCGGGAGGAGAGACAGAAGCGCAGCTGTCAGAGTGACGCCTTCTAACCTTGGGCCCCAGCTCTGATCCTTCCAAGGGGACCCCCAGCTTAGAACACGTAAGATGCAAAACTATTCTACCCTCAAATAGTAGCTTTTAGCATTTCACCCCAGCTCCTTCCTGGCTCGCCTGCCACCTAGAGATGCCATCGTGTTTTGAAAAATCAAGGAAATGGGGCTGGAGAAACGACTCAAGTCAGTAAAGTACTTACTGCACAGGCATGAAGACTTAAGTTCTGATACTCGGAGCCTATGCAAAAAGTCAGGTATGGCGGGGAGGGCGGGCGTCTGTGACCCCAGAGCTGGGTGGCAGAGACGGGAGGATCCCAGGGGCTCACTGGCCAGCTAGCCTAGGTAAATTGGTGATCTCTAGGCTCAGTGAGAGACACTGTCTCAAAAAATAAGGTGAAGAGTGACTGAGGAAGATACCTGATGTCTGACCTCCACATACATGTACACACACCCTTACCCATACTCCCCCCACCCACAAGCCTAAATCCACAGACTGTCTGAGCACTTCCTGGCTCTGAACTCATCCAATTCTTCCCCTACCCTGTGGAGACTGCTCTCATTTCATAGACAGGGAAAGCCCAAGCCATAACCACAGCCTTAGGGAGCAGTCAGGAGAACTACCACAAGTTCAAGGCCTGCCTGGTCTAGGTAGTGAGTACCTGGCCAGCCAGGGCTTCATAGCAAAATCCTGTCTGCAAACAAAAACAAAACCAAAAAACCAACCAAACAACCCCCCTCCTCCCAACATAATGACAGCAAACCAAAAACTAGGAAGCAGAGTCTGGCTCTCAAATCACAGAGCTGGGAGGGAACTGAGTCCCTTGCCAGGCTAGAAAACAAAACCAAAAACCAACCAAACAACCCCCCTCCTCCCAACATAATGACAGCAAACCAAAAACTAGGAAGCAGAGTCTGGCTCTCAAATCACAGAGCTGGGAGGGAACTGAGTCCCTTGCCAGGCTAGTTAGTCCAGCTGGTTCACCATGTTGTTAGGCAGCTGGTTTAGATATTAGTGGCCTCGGAGGGCATTATGCTGGACCTGTCTCTCATAGTCAGCAACTTCTAGAACAGAAGACTGGAAGAGCCAGACTTAATTGCTAGTCAGAAGAATGGGACCTGAATCATATCTGTTTTGGAAGGAGTGGACATCCTGGACTGTCCTCAAGGACACTCATAGATAAGGCCGTTAATAGATAACTACCTATGCGTAGCTCCAGGAGCCCTGGTAAGATTATGGGATAACAGGGGGCTTCCTGATGAAGATCACAAAGACATGTTATTCTCTGATTCGCCTCAATGACCTCCCTCCTGGCTGGGTCAGGACAAACAGGCCTCTCACCTGGACAGGACAAAGACACTAAAGACAGTAGAAAGTACTATACAGGGCTTGTGGATAAAAGCACTAGCCACTCAAGCAGGCCGACAACCTGACAGAGCCCCAGAGCCTAGGTAAAAAGCCAGATGTGCTGGCCTGCAGCTGAATCCCAGTGAGATGATAGGAATAGGGGAAGAGCCTGGAGGCTTGTGGGCCAACTCACGTGAAGTAAGCTGTGTAGCAAAGGAGGCAAGCTCCTGCCTCCTCTCCCAGAGGAGAGGCTATATCTTCTGACCTCTCCAAATGTGTGCTGTGGCACATGCCTGCCTGAGCTCCCACACACATCACACACCCATACAAATAATAAAGAAAAAGAACAAGGCCAGGCGGGGTGGCACACACCTTTAATCCCAGCACTTGGGAGGCAGAGGCAGGTGGATCTCTGTGAGTTCAAGGGGAGCCTGGTCTACATAATGAGTTCCAGGTCAGCTGGGACCACCCTTAGGCTTTCTGCTAAGCTTTTCTGCTCTCTGGGACTATTTTCTTTTCTACACTGTGCAAACTGGCTGAATTCTTTCAAAGGAGATCACAGGGACCAGGGGGAGGGGGAAGGAAATCAGTGACATTGTCACCTGTAGGAGTGTGCAGTTTGGAGTATAACTTTCTTTTTATAAAAATAATTTTAAACACGAGCATGTCTCCGAACCACTATCTTTCTTCACAAATGTCATCAGGGTGGTGTGTTCTTAGAGGTGTTGTGTGAGGGCTGAGGCTGTGGGTGTTTGGGGACCACGGTCATGTACTCCTTCTTTCCCTGGGGACACTTCCTGGAAAGTTCATCTTGTTTTAGAGTGGTCCCCTCCTCTCCCGTGGTTCCTTGTAGCTGGGTTAGAACAGTGCAGATATTCTAGAAAGGTCTTCATCAGAGTCCTCTGAACATGGCTGCTCAAAGTCAGTCTTCATCAGACTTTAAATTCTGATATAGTCCCAGTCTGTTAGGAGTCTCAGCTGGAGGGAAGGTGGATGAGGTGGAGGGAGGTGCAGGATGGTCAGTTTAGATGCAATTAGGTGCAGTGACACTGGGCAAAGACCCTCGATGGGGAGTGGGAGCTACAGAGGATCCTGGAGAAAAAGAGAGGAGTCACAGGGCTGGGTCCCCTGAGGAGAGGCCCAGAAAGAGCACAATGGGGGGTCACCAGGATTGGAGTGGTTGCAGTGGAAGTCCTGGGGCAGAGAGGCCAGAGGTACCTGATCAGTGGACAGTGTCTGCTGCGGCAGCATCCCAAGCAGGCTGGCACCATCCCAGCTCTGGGTCCCACGCGATGGGGTTGCATTTCCTGGGTCCAGGCCCTGGCTTTGGGATTCCCAGAAGTGTGAGTGACCTCCGGGGCCATGTGAACGCAGGCCCCACCCTCTTCCTGCTTCAGCTCCCGGAATGGGAGGGCCCAGGGCGATTGAGGCGCATCAGCCTTAAGCCCTTCTTCCTTCCTTCGCTCTGTCCCCCGGTTTGGCAGATGTACAGCAGGCCCATGGGGGAGCACAAAAGGAAAGAGAAAGTAACAGAACGCAGAGGCATGCGGTGCGGAGCGCACGGAGGCTTCTCCACCCTGCCGCGCCCAGCCCGGGCTGCACCTGGAGCTCTGAGGCCGTTGAAGGAAGGGTTTTGAGTCTCCAGGGGTGATGAGGCTGTGGGTTCTCGGTGGGGACTCGTGGATTCTCTTGCCTCTACTCAGGAGGAGGAGGGACAGCCCAGCTTTGGGTTCCTAATCCGGGGCTGGTTTTCGACCTCCATACCCTCTAACTTCCCAGGTGTGGAACCAGTCACCTCAGTGGGACAACCAGGACCCAGGCTCAGAGATTGCATCATTGACCGCTCAGGACCAGACAGTTGCCGGTAGCAGAGCTGGCATCGGAGCCATGATCCCTGCAGATGAGGAGGATAGACTCCCAAAGATGGTTGGCTAATGGTACCCACAGACCTCTCTTGAAAGGGTGGAGGCGTGGACCAGTAAAACGAAGCAGATGTATGTGCACACACAGCTTTCTGGTCATTTAAGTCCATCCTGAATCCTTTGAAGGAATGCATGCACATGGTGTCAAATAATCTTCCTAAATACATGGGATTTTGTCCAGTTCTATCTGCTGCAATAGAGTGTCACAGCGCCCCTACTTGGCAGAAGGCTATTCTACCTCTGTTCAAAGCAGACTGGTTGGAATTGCTGGGGATGGGCTGTGTGTGAAGTATTCTGTTCATATATATATATATGTATACACCTCCATCTCTGTGATTGTTTCATCTTGTAAAATTGAAAACCCACTAAATACAACTTTCTCCTCCCACAGCAACCAGCGTTCTGCTTTGTCTCTGATCTCAACTGTGCTAAGTGCCGTGTATATATGGAATCATACCCCAATTGTCTTTTTGTGACTGGCTTATTTCACTTGGCACCATGTCCTTGAAGGTTCATCCACATGGTCAAATGAGTCCAGGTTTTCTCTTAAATGACAAATAAGGCTGAGGGTGGAGCTCAGTTGGTAGAAAGTTTATCTGGTATACAATAGGCACTGGCTTCACTCCCTAGCATTGTATATGCAGTACTCAGGAGGTGGAAGCAGGAGGATCAGGAATTCAAGGTCATCATGGACTAACTACATATGGAGTTTGAATAATAGTCCACTGTGTGGACGGACCATATTTTGCCTCTCCGTTCATCTGCTGACAGAGACTTGGATGACCTCCACACTTTATTTATTGTGACTAATGCAGCTATGGATGTGGGTAGACAAACCTCTCTTTGAAACCCTATTTTCATTTCTTTTGGGTGTATACCCAGCAGTGGAATTGATGGATCATATGGTAATTTTATTTATTTATTTTTATTTTATATATTTATTTATTTTTGTCTTTTTGAGACAGGGTCTCCTTGTAGCCCCACCTGTCCTGGAACTCACTATGTAGAACAGGGTGGCCTTGAACTCACAAAGATCTGCCTGTCTCTGCCTCTCAAGTGCTGGGATTAAAGGCGTGCGCCACCATGCCTGGCAGTAATTCTATTTTTAATTTTTTTGTTTTGAGACAGAGATGCTCAGGCTGGCCTGGAATTCATTATGTAATTGAGAATGATCTTGAACCTGTGATTCTCCAGCCTCCACCTCCCAAGTACTGGAATTAAGGGTTTGTGCCACCATGCCTGCTTTATGTGGTGCTGGGGATCAAACCCAGGGCTTCATGCCTGCTAAGCAAGCACTTTACAATTGAGTGACAACCCCGGTCATAGTTTTAATTTTTTTTTTTTTTTTTTGGTCTTTTAGAGCCCAGGTCTTTCTGTAGCCTCAGCTTGCCTGGAACTCGCTATGTAGACCAGGCTGGCCTGGAACTCACAGAGATCTGCCTGCCTCTGCCTCCCAAGTGCTGGGATTAAAGGTG